TTTCTTTTTACATATATAAAGCTCTACCTTTAAATTAGTTTGCTTTTCCTTTGTTGCTCTGACAGCTATTATTAGAAAAATTTTCCAAAGCCTTGGAAAGCACTCCTCCTAACTTCCAGACTAAATCCACCTAAAGCCAATTTGTGTCTATTTTTTAACTGAGCCGATATTTTGCTTTAACTAGTTCTTGTCCTTTCCTGGTGCTTAATTGCCAATAGTATTCATAGTGTTCTCAAGTTGTACCTCGGCTTCTGTTTTTCAGGTCTAAGAAAAAAGCTTTTTTTGATTCCTTCCCCATCTAACAGTCTCAGTGGAGAAATGTAGCACTGTCACCAGCTTGGGGCTATGGCAGATCACTTGCAAATAATGGGAGAACTTGCATTACTTTTCACTACCATTCTCCTGTGATAGGAGATTGCCCTGGGGATTAACAGCGAACCATTAGAATAAATTTGACCCTCTTGACAACCATACATCTATCCTGCCAAAAATCTTTCCCAAGCACTTCAGGAACAGCGCATCTGTTACAAGGTCTATCAAGAAGCATGCCGGTAAGCTTTATACAAACAACCCCCAGGTTTTTTTCAACAGCAATAATGCTGCTTTTCAAAGTACTTGGCAGTGAAGCTGCAAGTAGAATCCTGCAGAGGTTTACTCCCCTCTAACCTTTTCCAGCAGATTTTCTCTTCAAGAGGGAGTGACTGGACCATATAAATGCCACAAACAAGAGAAGTTAAAACATGAAGCAACACTACAATAAAATGAAGTAACAGGCAGCTGCAGATTCTTGTGGCATTAACGCTGGAACCAGTGGCCAAGAAGGATCTAATTCACTTTTTGCATGTGAAATGAAGTGGAATAACCCTACTCAAGTTAAAAAAAATTGCAGTGGCTTAAGACCTATGTGACTGAAATCGGAATCAGGCCCTCAATTTCCACCAGGTCATTCCTGTACTTCTCTGGTTTTCATGTCTCAGGAGTCTCATGATGCCTTTCCAGAGCAGCTGTTTTCTAACCTTCGTGGTGATTAAGTAAACAAATGAACAAAAAGTAGCATCCTCCACAACTGTAGCCATTTCATAACCACTGGATTTTGCATGGGATCTAGGGTCTGAGCTGCAAGCTGCTCCTCCTGCTTGAAGAACTGCTTGCTCAGCAGCAGGTGCTCTCCTTTTAAGAGATTTTGGCAGTTCCTTGGGCAGGCACCAGTGAAATTTCTGTGGCGACAGTCATTACCATACTGCACATTTGTGTCATCCACAGGATGCAGAAGCATTTCTCCCCGGGCAGCATGGAGTTAATCTGCCTCCTTGCTCTGTGCCTTGGGAATAAGAGCTGGGATGGCAGCCCATAGTAGGAGGGCTTGGATTGAACTCGCCAGTGAAGAGGAGGAATGACATTTTTGTGCGAGGAAGATGCTTGCCAAGAAATCAAGAGGGAAAGCAACAGTGGGAGAAAGGAAGTAACTCATCAGGTGCTCAGGACAGACAACAGCAGTTTTGGGAGCTGGGTGCACATCAGGGTCTTGGATGCATCTTTCTCTACAAGACAGAAAGCCGGAGGAGGAAGGTAGATGCCTTCATAAGCCTGGGAACTTTGCCAGCACCTCAAAAGCATCCAGTTTCCTACCAACACAGGCTAGATGAATACCACTACACCACTTCTAGAGAGGAAGAGACTGAGGTTGTGGAGAACTTTTAAACATAGGTCTAGTTTTCTACCAGCACGAGCCACAGAGGGGCAGGAACACGCGGGTAAGGGCAAAGAGGAGGGCAGCAGCAGCCCCAGCTACCGATGCCCCAGGCTGCTGGAGGACCACACCACGGGACAGAGCGCTGTTAGGTAGCCAGCCCCAGGTCTCACAGCAAGGCAATGCTGCAGGCAGGAGAATAACCCAGTCTTCTGTACTCCTGGTCTTGTGCCTCTAAGCAGGAGGCTGTCTTCCTTCCTCTATTACATTAAAGCAGCGGTGTTACACTGAAAAAAATAGGGTGAGTGACAGGATAGTCCTGCTTTAGCTGTCTAAGCAAAAAAAAAAGCCAAAGTGAAGGATGAATCAAGCCTACCCTCCCAAGGCAACTGGTACTACCTTGAATTTCCAGATGGAGACAGGCCTGAACAAACTTTCTAATTATCACACTCAGAAACACCTTCAGCCAGATCACATCTTGCTGGCTTAAGCCCAGCTCTGATGACCTAAATCTCTCACACTAAGGAGTAATTAATTTGAGATCAGTGCAATTGCACTGTTACAAAATTGGAATAAACTAAAGGATGGTCTGGCTCCTCCATTTTTGGGAAACTGAAGGAAATTATTTCTGAGGAGAGAACAGATTACTTGAAACTCTAAGGGAAGGCTGCTGAAAAACAAAACCTCTTTGCTTGTATTTCCCAAAAGCAAAACACAGTTGGGTAGGAAGAAGTGAGGTAAATCATTGCTTCAAAACTTAAAATTATTCATTGAATAAGATGCTCCAGAAGGGAAAAAAAGAAAACCTTTAGGATGCAAAGACTTGTTTTCCTTTGCTTTTAACCAGCCATTTGAAAACACTGCAACATGACCAATTCCTCAAAAATGTTTTCCTGACCACAGCATCTTGCATGCAGACAAACACAAAGATTATGCCAGTTCCTGGAAGAACGAACGTCATTAGCTTTTTTTAATACTGAAGCACATGTCTGTATTGTTTTTCTCTCTTCTTATCTCCCTAATTGGGGGGGGATGTTTTTTCCTTTTTTTTTCTTTGGTTCCTAGACTCTTTGTTTAAATGAGTACAATACGTTATTTTTTCCTCTCATCGTTCTTTTTTTTTTTTTGGCTCTTCAGACTTTTTGCCTGTGCAAGTAAAACTGCCCTTCCTTAACACCCTCTCTGCTGCTGTTTCAGCCTGAACAGCTTCCACTGGGTCATCTTGGTGCTAGTGTTTTAAACAATTCCCTTGTTCATAAGTAGCTAATTAGTTATTTGCTATCTTCAGAAGTAAGCTTTTGAGGTCTGGGCTTTAACCTTTCCTAGGGAGGGCTCCTGTTTCACCACCACGTTTTTGAGATAAAGTTTCCCCAGATAAGAAGAAAGATGGGAATCTGACTTGCTTTCCTGGGCAAATTTCTCAGGCACTGTTTTGTATTACAGTGGTACTGAGCCAAGGCAGCAATTCAGCATGCACTTAAACGCCTCTGCAGTCGGTGGGATGTATTACTGTCCCGAAAATGGACAGGCTTAAGCAAGTGCTCTCCCAAACTGGAACTTTATTAATTGTACTCCAGTGCATGCCTGCATTGAGAGGCTTTAGAAAGTTAAGGCACCTCGGTTAAAGTTGCAGAGTCAATGCACGTACTGCATTAATCTGTTCTATGAATGCTCTCATTACCATTACATCGTTGTAGCTTAATCTGAGCACACCTATGGACAAGCCCTCAAGCTCTGCTTGTGACACCGAACAGCTTTGAACATAGCACACCACTTATCAGTCTCTTTCTGTAATCCACAATCTAATGTAGAATAGATTAGAATCGAATGTAATTCAAGTGTTTCTTGCCAATATTAATTCAGCTGGTATTATGTTTTACCTGTGCAATAAGCAAAAGTTCCCAAACTTCAAGGATTACAAAATCTGGACCAAAGAAAAGGGATAGATGACTAATGGGATACATTAAAGACATGGAAATGTTTAAAGACATGACAAAAGAAAGAGAAGAATTTATGGAAAGGTGACCCTGAGCCATAACACTGTGAATTTCAGTCCCTCAACAGCAGAAAAGTCTGAATCAAAGTTGGAGGAGCAACATTTAACTCAGACCTAAAATTGAAAGAAAAGATGGAGTGGGATGGTGCAAAACCTTAAAAATTCATTATCTTCTGTCAATTTGTAGAATGAATTGCCTGCTGAAATGTCGACCTGCTTTAAATTAGTTGTGCTACAAGTGCAAACCGTAATTGTCCTATGTTAGTGTGTGTATCCTACTTGCTTACTGAAAGACTTTATTGTATAATGCATTCTTGTGGAAAAGCAATGAGCTGACAGAACCCTAGCAATATTCTGTACTGGTTGTCTGAAAACCTGCTGTGGTTTTTTTCTCTTTGCTAAATTCTCCTAAAAAAAGCAAAGCTTAATTAAGTCACAAGCACCTCTCTGATGAGCCTCTCCTTGGATCTCTCTTTTTCGATTACTCTCTTTCCTGACAGGCTGTGATACTCCACTAGGAATGCTTCTTTGTGTTTTCCTCCTTGGGGATGACAACAGCTCTGCTCCAAGCATCTCCTTGGCCTAGGACTCGGGAGCTCTGGAAGAGCGCAAGCATCTCCTTCCAGCCTATCGGTGCGAGTGTAGGACCCCATCTGGAACTCATCAGCGACGCGATGAGCGCCGCAACCGACTACTGCCAGGAGGCTCCTAATGACGTGGCAGTAACCTCACAATGACTAATCAAGATTTTCTTCACTTCCCTTTAGCAATTCCACCTCATAAATTAGTGAAAAAGATGAAAATAAAACTGTAAGCAGGACGGGGGCTATGACGTAAAATACCTGAGAGAGGACGCTCGCCTGCTTTCCCGGGGTTACAGCGTGCGGCTCTTCTCCGTCAGACTTTGGCTGCCGAGGGCAGAGAGGAGCGGTTACGCGACCCGCCCCGATTTCGGCGGGCCGCCCCTGACGCCAGCTGCAGCGGAGCGCTCAGCCCCACGGCCCGAGCTGCGGGGCGCAGCCCCGCCCTCCCCCGAGCTCGCTCGCTCTCACCGACCCCGGGCCTCCGCCGCCCGGATTGGGCAGAAGGGCAGTCCCTCTCCGAGGCGTTTCCCGCGCGCGGGGGG